TATGAGGAAGCTGTGGACCTGTTGGAGCAGATCCAGAGGAAGTCACAAAGATGAATCAAGGGGATGGGCTCCGCTCTCCTATGACAACAGGCTGAGAATTGGGGCTGTTCATCCAGGAGAAAAAAAGGCTCTAGGGAGACCTTACTGTGATCTTTCCACACTTAAAGGAGTCTTATAGGACAGATGGGAAAAACATTTTATCAGGCAGTGACAGGATGAAGGGCAGGTGTTTTAAACTGAAAGGTGATAGATTCATATTAGATATAAAGAAAATAGTCATCACCATGAGGGTGGTGTGGCACTGGCACAGGTTGCCTGGAGAAGATGCGGATGGCCCACATCCCTGGAAGTGTTCAAGGTCAGGATGGATGGGGCTCTGAGCAATCTGGTCTAGTGGAAGGTGTCCCTGCCCATGGCAGGAGGATTGGAACAAGACCGTCTTTGATGATACTTTCCAACCCAAACCTTCCTATAATTCCAAGATGTGGAGTGTTTAGGCTGGAGAAAGCAAAACTAGAGAGGCATGCAGGGAGCATTACAGTTGAGGCTGTCACACTTACAAACATGGTTGGCCCATATTGGAATGCACTGGGAACACCGGGCATCCCAGCATAGTAAGGGAGCCCAGTGTAGCTGTACCCTGGGGGCAGGGTCGGGTTGAGGAAGGGCTGCTGAGTCGTGTGGTGAGTCTGTGTATGGTTCTGCTGTGGCTGGGCCAGAGTGGTTGCAGGAGCAGGAGAGGCAGTATCTCCACGGCCATATTTTGTTACATCACCTGTGAAAGAAAGAACTGGTCAGAAAAGCTACCAAAGATACAGCAAAGGTGGAGAATTCAATAGACTTAACATCCTCTGAATAGAAGCAGACAACTACGGAACAGGACACATCCTGCACCTGAAAGCCTGCAGTTGTTTATGGGAAGCCCTCACCCAGTCTCTGTTCCTGACAGCCACAGGAATATTGCCTTTTCATGGCACAGAACTCTGTGCCATGGCTACTCTACTGATAAAGAGAGATGCCAATACTTACCTATCTCACATGGTCTGAGCAGACTCATTACTATCAGATCATTGCAATAAAACATGCTAAAAGCGGAAGCATGGTAAATAGCCAGAGAGCCAATGGTTGTTGGGTTAAATTGTGACTCTCCTGGGGGTTAACCTGTTTAGCTAAGCTTCATGGGCTGAAAGCAGGTTAGGATTTACAGGCAGGGATGGGCATATTTTTGCCAATGTCTATTTATTTGTCAAGCATGACTAGTTAAGATGTCCAGTTCCTCACACCACCACAGTTCTGAAGACAGTAGCTGAAGGCCAGGAAAACAAGGCTTGCATCGTGGGCCACCTTATTGAAGAAGCAGGAAGGGAAATTCAATTATTAACCCAAAACCAGCCTTCCAAGAGAAGTCATCATGAAGCAGAAAATTCACAAACACTTGTACTTTTTGGCAGCCTGACATACATCAATCCCTTCTACCTCATTCCCAACCAGTATTCCCTTTTGTTGGTTACTAGGAAGTATGAGAGCACTTAATACCATCATTATAGGAACCACAATGCCTATGGCTACAGTTTTAAGATGCAATCAACTGGCAGTGGATGAAAAGCACTGGCTGAAATCCTGGATGGCATTAATACCATCTTTTTGCACAATGACAGCTAAAGAGCAAGAGAAGGAACAAGGAAGGATTTCTTTGACCACAGAAGGGAAAAGCAGATCCTCTTTGAGCAACAGCAGGATGATCTGCACTGAGAAACCAGCATATCTCATTTGCCATCCTCATCTTTAACTAGAACTCACCTGAGTATGGGTTGTTAGCAAGGCTCCCATCTCTGCCTGTCAAGGTTGCAGGAGCCGGGAATGTAATTCCATAGTAATCCTTGGAAGAGATAACACCATTTATTAATAGCTGAAACTACAGATCTGACGAACTGCACACTAGAGACAGAAGAAAATTTTAAAAGTAAGAACTAAAGGGGGTTTGAGTGGAAGCTGACCTTATGTTGTGCAGCAGAGCTTAAAATTTACCTGGAGCCTCAAGCTAAAAATAAACCTACTTTATAGACACTTTTTGTGTTATATACAAATATTTCATCTCTTAATGGTAAGTTAAAGGCAATAACTAAATGATATCCCACACAGCGCCCCACACTGAACTGTCATCTTCCAGTGAGACTGGCTGAAAGAGAACTGAGCATTGTGGCTCAAAGGCCTGGGGTCAGGCCAGGAGTGTAATCACAACATGGATATAAGTCTAAGGTTTTGCCCTTGTATCATGCCCTGTTTTCTAAAAGTGGAAATGTCAGCTACGAAAACAACAAATACATCAAAAGAGACAGAAAACCAGTTACTATTAGATGACTAGAAAATTTATTTAAACTCCTTTACAGGAGACCTGAGGCCATAGTCTCCAAAGTGGGGTGGGTATCCAATCCATTGGGTTGCAGGAAGAAAATTGATATGATACCTTTGGTAAATACAACTTAAGATAATTTTAAAACAGCGTTTAACCTTTCTCTCCTTTTTTTTCATTTTTATCTTAGGGTATGTTTTATAATATATATATACACACTAATACAGGGGTATATGTATATAATTCAGAAGTAAAACTATACTGAAGGTGAGTGCTCACATATTTTTTGCTAATAGGGTGCATAGAAAAGGTGGAAACCACTGCTTTAGATCATTCTTCTAGGTCTTCTACAAGAAGGTAAGCAACACTAGAAAGCTTGCACTCTGAAATGACGGGGCATGCCAGCAAAACCAAAGCAGTATTTTGACCTCAGTTTGGGAGAAAAGCAAGAAGTTTGCCCTTGTCTCTCTGGGTGAACTCCACCTGTGGGTCTGATAATCTGGTTTTTGTCTCCTAATTTTCATGTTCTCCTCACCTCCTCCAATCCAAAAATAGATTGGAGTAATAGTAGTCTAAGTAGTAATAAGTCTAGTAAGTAATAGTAGTCTAAATAGTAATGTATCAATTTTCACACTTTTTCAAATACTGGATATATCTCCTTCTTTATCACACCCCTCTCTGCAAATGCCATACTGCCTTAAATGTTTTCTCAGAGTGGACAGCACCCTCCACCTTGCTCCACTTCTGTGCATCACTTCCCTGTCTCCTATACCCAATACTCCATCACTGAATATGAAATAATGTGGCAAAGTTTTAGTATTGTATGTGCTTTCTGTAACTTGTAATGGTGCTGTTACATCATCAACATTTCCTTCCCTGGTAATTCCCCTCCTTAAAAACTCCAGCCTGAATCACTTGGCAAAACACAACTAAATTCACATTAGAAGTCTTAGCAGGTTGCTCAAAAGCAGAACTCTCATAACCTTCTGATGAAAATGCCATGAAAAGAAGATCTAGAGAAGAGATGTGAACACAGTTCAGCTGATATGAACTAGCACACTAACATTTTCCTCCTATACGAACTGGACAAGGTATGATCAAATCTGCATGAGAAGATGGTGTTATGGGTAGCAATTATATCTGTATCCTATTTGTGCATACACACATTCAAATTAAAAACTCATTAGAAAATATGCGTGCAAGGCAGTTATGTCTGCAGTTCATGCCTGCCCGAAGGAAAATATCGGGGAAGACACTCTGCTCTTCAAACATCACAGATATCTCCTAACCTACAAAAGGAGAAGCACCCTAAAGTGAAAAAAAGTGAAGCAGAAAATGATGAAAACAGAATAAGTGATGAGACATAATAAATTTAAATTCCACCCAGCAGCTCACTGGGTACCACACACACCAGCTGACACATTTGTAAGTTCTCTGCAACAGATGAACAGAGAAGACAGCATATCTTAATGTAACATACACCAAAAGAACCTAAAAAAAAAAAAAAAAAAAAAAAAAAAAAAAAAAAAAAATTATAAAAAAAAAAAAAAATCCACAGTGAGACTTTACATCAACAATACACACATTACTTGGATTTATTTTTAAAAAAAAATCTCAGGAGAAAATCCCATTCTTGCTTTATCAGCAACCATGGGGATCTCTTGCTGCTGAAGTTACAGAGGAAGCAGTGATGACTCACACCTGGAACTCTGCCCACTTTCACTTTTCACATGTAAGTGGGCTGGGATATGAAATAGAAATATTCCCTCCTGCTCCTGCCCTCAGACCATCTAACATTACCATGTTTTCACAAAGAATTCACAACATAATTTAAAAAAAAAAACAAAATCCAGAAAGAACAAACACTGCATGAAGTGTAGATTAAAAAAATCCTGTATGACATCTGTGCATATATTTCTAACTACCAACATACCAAGGGGAATTAACTCTGGATACAGGGTTATGAGAGATGGCTCCAAAAATATTCTCCAAGATATTGTAGAGAGAGGAAAAACTCTTGCATTAGCAAAGCTACAGGTGCCACAGAAAAAATAAGTATTAGCATACAAATGCATATACACATACAAAAAGAATTTTAAAAGACTAGAAAATTAACAATATTTGTCAATTAAAAATATAAGAAAGCACTAATTAACATGCAAAATAAACATTATATATAAATAATATTAGAGCATGCAATAAGAAAAAACAGATGCTGGCAGGTACAGAAATTTCAAACTAAACCCTAAAAAAAGGCAACACACAAAACACACAAAAGATGAAAACACAACCCTGAAACAAATCCCCAACACAGCCAACCAGAAAGCTTATGGCACACTTTCGTATCCTGCAATAGCTCAAGAGCCAGGGTTCCCCCTGGCAGCAGCCTTGACAAAGTTTCAGCTCCAGTTCTCATAGCAGCGTCCCCTCCTGGTCAGTGACAAGCACCAAGGCCCTCAAGAGAAAGCAAACAGAAAAAACAAAAGTGAAAACGGAAAAGGGAAATTCTCTAGAGAATAGTGATGAAAGGAAAGCATGGGCATGGGCACATAAAACTGCACAACCGGCAGCACCCCAAGAAAACCAACCACCACCACCGAGACCGACAAGACACTGGAGGATCTGGCACAGCGCCTAAAGCTCCACCATGGCTACACCTGGATGTGCACAGCCCTGCCTGTGGCACAGCACCCTAGCACTACTGCTCTTCATCGCAGCTCTCACAACTGGCCTCCCATGCCGACATCTGCAAAGCCACGATCCAGGGGAGGCGTTCAAGCTCCTGAAGGACATGGCTCCAAACATAAGAGAGCCCTGCAATCTCCAGAACCCACCATTCTTTAATGACAGCCTCCTCCGCAACAACCTCAGCCCGCACCAAGCCGCCGCCACCGCCCTGCGCATCCTCCAGCGCCTCTTCCACACCCTCAGCTCCAACAGCAACCGCCAGCACTGGC